GAATGCACTTGGCATTACTTTGGCTGTGGTAGCTCTCTATCTATCATCTATCTATCTATCTATCTATCTATCTATCTATCTATCTATCTATCTATCTATCATCTATCTATCTATGGCTTAAAGTGGCCTTAAAATCCCACAATTTTGACGTCTTAGATAAGGAAGTTATCTACGAACTTCTGTGACGTTTGCAGACAGAATATGAATATTGTGAAGGAGCCACACCGAGAGAAATGAGTTATCTTTCTTATGTTTCTTTATCACTCCCAGGCTCATCTTGTTGACAGTGACTGTAGTTAGAATGCACTTGGCATTACTTTGGCTGTGGTAGCTCTGTTCCACTGCAGCTTAATGGGCACAAGGAGTCAAAGTTATTTTGTGAAAGTCCTCGATTTATAAAGCCGGGTTAGGTGTGATAGGTAGGGTTATCATTCCTGATAGGATTTATGGCAGGGATTGCTGGATCCACTGATTTCTTAGCTGTTTTGTTTTATACACAATATAGGCCATAAGTGTTTGGTGCTCAGAGATTGCCACATACATTTGTTTAATTCCTGCCTTGGTCTCAGGGTTCTTTTACCATTTATATTATCTGCCAAAGTATTTCCACCATATTCCATTCTAAAGTTTCTTAACTGGTACTTAGTCACTAATAATAACATTTTAGAGGAGCTGGTTAATTCTGAAATGGTCCTGCTCCACTGAATATGAATACCTGGAATTTTACTTGCCATTCAAATATGCTGTAGGCAGCCTTTGACTTTGTAGAAACACTTTGCTACTTTTTCTAAGGAGAGACTTGAGTAGTGAAATCCTTTGCTCAGGAAAAGAAACACCCCCAAACCTCAGTGCCTTCTAGTTGATGACAACTCATAGCACCCCTATAGGACACAGTAGGACTGCCCCTGGGAGTTTGCAAAACGACAACTCTTTTTACAGGAGTAGAAAGCCCATCTTTCTCCCTAGTTTAGGAAACACCTACACCTATGACAGCTTTCGATCTTCTGCTGAGACTCTATCAGTTGTGTCTACACTGTTTCCCAAGAG